CAAATTTTTCTGAGGGAAAAAATTGTCAAAAATAGTTATTTCCTTCCTTAAAGTTCTAAAACCTAACAAACTTTAAAACCAAGCAAATAGTAAAACAGAGGAAAGTGTAAAGAAGATGAGAGTCTGATACTACTTAGATATTACGTAACTTATGTCAGGGAAATTACGACCAAAACTGTTTTCCTGGTGTAACCTGATTCACTGGCAAGTGCTGGTGACTCATGTGGTACTGGTGACTAGGTGCAGTGAGCTCAGCAGGAGCAGCAGCACTTTGCTCACTACTCTGTGGTCTCTCTCTCTCCAGTACACTCTCAGATGTCCATTTATGGCATCTGTCTTCAAAACACTTCTTTTTTTTTTTTTTGAGTTGGAGTGTCACTCAGTCGCCCAGACTAGATAGAGTGCAGTGGCCGCTCCCGGCCACCGCAGCCTCGACCTGCTGGGCTCCGGCGATCCTTCCGCCTCAGCCTTCCAAGTAGCTGGAATTAGAGGCATGTGCTACCACGCCCGGCTGGTTTTTTGATTTATTGTAGAGATGAGGTCTTGCCGCCCAGGCGGGTCTTGAACTCATCGGCTCAGGCAATCCACTCACCTCAGCCTCCCAAAGGTGTAGGATTACAGGCTGAGCCACCGAGCCCAGCTAAGTCATTGTTCTTTACATGAGTAAGCACAACATTATCAGTTTACATGGCATGGAGACTCATCCATTAAGAAAACTAAGACAAAAAGAAAAATAATTCATTCTCATTTCTCCAATTAGATCAAAACCTTTGATGGAATCCACTGGCCTCAGGGCCTTTACACAGGCTGCTTGTTCCCTGTGCCTGCAATGCTTTGTTTCTTTTCCAGAGAGCCAAATGACTTGCTTCCTCCCATCTTTTAGGTCTTTACTCACATTTCACCTTCTCAACGAAATGGACCTGACCAACTCTTTAAAATTGGAATCCCCAAACATTCCCTATTTTCTTGCTCTGTTTTCTGTTTTTCCTCAACAATGATCATTGTCTAATATCCTTTATATCCTTTTTTTTTTTTTTTTTTTTTTTGAGTCAGTCTCACTCTGTTGCCCAGGCTGGAGTACAGTGATACAATCACAGCCACCGCAGCTTTGACCTCCTGGGTTCAGGCAATCCTTTCGCCTCAGCCTCCCGAGTAGCTGGGATAACAAGTGCACACCACCATATCCAGCTCACTTTTTTATTTCTTGTAGAGACGAGGTCTCACCAAGTTGCCCAGGCTGGTCTCAAACCCCTGGGCTCAGGCAATCTTCTTGTCTCCGCCTCCCAACATGCTGGAATTATAGGCATGAGCCACTGCTCCCGGCCACTGTCTAATATCTTATACTTTGTTTACTATCTGTTTCCCCCAACAATGCAAGCTCCATAAGGACAGGATTATTGGTCTGTTTTGTTTCTACTATGTGCCCAGAATTGTAACTTGTTGAGTGAATGATCGACATAGGTGAAGTTGCTAGTATGATGATTTTTGAGATCGTGCCTCATAAATTGAATCTATCTATGATTTATACTCTGAGGATCAGACTCACTAGAAATCTCTCTTGTGGTTAGAAATGGGTCTTAGGGTTCAAGGACCTGGAACTTCCACAGCTCCCTTTATATTCCTGAAATCTTGAGAGACAGAAGAAAACCTCAAATGAGGTAACCAAAGAGTCATACTGTTTGACAGCAATGTGTCCCTGAAAAATATAAGCACTGTGCCAGAATGTGCTGAGGATGCGCTCTAGGTCACAAAACACTAGAACTCTCCCCAGTGTATTTTCCCTTTTTAGGATAAATTTAGTCTGCATGTAGTGTCAAAATAAAAAACAGTTCTTGTTTTAGTTTGGCATTCTTATAAAATGTTTGCCTTTGGTCTACTAGAGGAAATGGAAAAAACTAGTTTTATTATCTACAAAAACCAAGTTTCAAAGAAGGACCTTGATAAAAACAAAAACAACAACAAAAAATGACAACACTTCTGCATAGGAATTGTAAGCTCATTAAAGAAACATTTCATTTTATCTTAAACTTGAGCAAGAGCAGTGCTCTTTGAACTATAATGGGTAATTTCTATGTAAATTCTCTTTAGCCAATGTCATGGACTAATGGTGTCTTTCCAAAATTCATATGTTGAAGTACTAACCCCACCTCAGAATGTGACTGAATTTGGATATAGGGTGAGTAAGGGGTAAGTGAAAATGGGATCTTTAGTGTGGGCCCTAATCTAATATGATTGGTACCCTTACAAGATGAAATTAGGACATAGATAATTATGCAGAGGGAAGATCATGTGAAATCAGAGAGAAGACTAGCTAAGGCAGAGGTCTCAGAAGAAATTAACCCTCCCAACACTTGATCTTGAATTTCCAGAGCTGAGAGAAAATGAATTTCTGTTGTTTTACCCATCTAGTCTGTGGTACTTTGTTATGGCAGCCCTAGCAAACTAATAAAGCCAACCAAGAAATACCATACACTTTTGTCAGAGTAAACTTTTTTTGGGGTGGGG